TCTTTTGCATCTGGTTCTCTTTCTTTTTTTACTTTGCCGTGACCCCAGACAAAAAGAAAAAAGAAAAAGACGGCCAAGGCGCTGGGGAAAAAGAAACGATCCCAACATGGTACATCAAAAACACACTCCTACCGCATTTGATCCAATGATACCTAAATAACGGCCGATCCCGCATTTTCCCCAACCCCAGACTCCAGGGCACAGTGAGTCCCTTATTTCCTTCCTTGTCTCTGATGGGCATCCCGCTATGGAGAATGGGGCACGTACATGTACTCTTGCTTGTAGATTGACAGCCTCAATTTCCCTGCCGCCCCAGCGGTTATTGCCAATGTGGCGTGAAGACAGCGCGGGTCCCGCTACGCATTATTGGCTGCTGCTTTGTTTGGCGCCTTTTCCTTTTTTTTTTTCTCCTTCTTCTTTTCGGGCAAGGGGAAGGAAGCCAAGGACAGTCATCTGCATGACAAGGATCTGACCTTGTCCGAAATTGTGAAACAGGCACGGGAGTTTGAACTGGAAAGGTCCAGTCTCTGCGCGTGAAGCTACGGCAGCTTGCGCGTTTGCCGACGACGACAGAAGAGGCTGTCGACTCCTCCGTCTTGTAGGGTAGGTTGGGAGAGTTTGAAAGATGTTGGAACTTGGCGAGAGTTTCTACGATTATTCCCCATCGGCGGAATTCAGTGTGGTGAGTGCTGGGACCGGGCCTGGGGTCTGACAAGTGAATGAGTGTTTGGGTACATATAACAAGGGCTGAAAACAAAATTCAAGGTCATTGCCTCACAATAATGACACGCAGCCAATTTATGCCCCATTGTCCTAATCATCAATTGCAACTCCTACCCTACACGGGACGTTGCGCCATAGTTCTGTTGTTTATACACATGATAATGCCATGTAAATGAAGGAGCTTCATGTTCGCCATATCCAAAAATGTACCCTCCCATTTCAAATAACCCTAATCCGTGGGTCCCCAGAATCTAAAAGTCAAACTCTGGTCGGAAAATGTCAGGATCAACGCCAGCGACCGTCTTCTCCGCCAAGTCTCTGCGTCCCATCTGAGTAAACACTCTTCTTAGAGTGTCATACAAGGTGCTGCTGCGGTTCTGTGCAGACATCCTGTCAATGACCTCATCCACGTTGCTGCCGGCATTGTCACCGAGGATTTCGTGCGCCTTGCTTCGTCCAGACTTCTCAATGGACTTGTGCATCTCCAGGGCAGCCAAGAAGTGAGAGGCAGCCTCCTGATGGCAATTGATGTTGATACAGCTTACGCCGAGATTGTAGCGAGCCCGGACAAAGTTGGGCGATAGGGAAAGCGCGTGCTCGTAAGCTGCAATAGCTTCTTCTGACCGTCCACTATTCGCCAGCGTGGCACCGAGTCTGTTCCAAAGCAGATGAACCTGTTCTTGCTGGTTCGATGTACCCAACTCTGACGAATGTAGTGCCGACTGGAAGCAATCTACCGCCTTGTCGTATTCCTCCGCGCCATAGAACAATACGCCCAGGCCGACCTGGACATCGGGATCCATGTGCTCTCCATCAGGACTGAGACGAGCAGCCTCAATGAACAACTTCGTTACCTTTTCGTGAAGGATTTGGCGGTCAGTGAAGCCCATCTCGGAGGCTGGATGTAGATTCTTGGGATCCAAGATGCTAGGGTACTTGACCGAGAGCCAGCGCTCCAGTGTTCTATAGGCAGTGCTGTCATACCCCTCGTTGGTGTAGGACACCGCCAAACCCATCAACGCTTCCAAATTGTTGGGGTCCAACTTTAATGCCTGTTCCATGGCACGAATTGCAGCCGTCTCTTTTTCGTTCTGAGCCTGGGCCTTCCCCAGGTACACCCATGCCTCGGTGTGATTAGGGTTTTGCTGTACTGCGGCTTCGAATGCCAAGGCCGCAAGAGATAGGTTCCCGCCCTCCCTCATAACCCGTACACCTTCGTCGAACGCGTTCTTTTCGTCGCGGAAGAAATTTTCTTGTTCGAACAGGTAGCTCTCGACGACAGGATCACCGAACCGGCCCCAGTCTCCCATGGAGAAGTCGGCGGGGATGTTGTCGTTGCTCCATTCGGTATCGAACTGGTCGAAAAAGGTATCGTCGTTGACCATGGATCTAGCAGCAGCCGTCTCAGCTTGGATTCCTTTCCAGAGGGATTCGAAGTCACCAAACTCATTAGTTTCAGATTGCATTGCCTTGTCAATCTCATCAAGTTCCCGCTCAGCCGCGTTGGCTTCGTCGTGCTCCTTCTCCTTCTCCTTGAGCTTTTCAGCCTCTTGGTCCTGGAGCTCGAGTTGAGCAAACTGCTCCTCCCATTTGCTATCGTCCAACTCTATCAACTTGCCCTTACCTTTGCCCTCGGGTTGCTGTTGCTGTTGGTGCTGCTGGAGAGGTTGGTTCTGATACATGGGTTGGAACTGGCCATAGCCCATTCCCATATTCATCATGCCAACTCCCATCATTGGCCGTTGGGGCATCTGGCTGGACAAGTTGGCATTCTGCATTGGACTGGACCTAGCTGATGATGCTTGACCATTCAGCTGTTGGAATCTCGCAAACTCGTCCGAGGAGAAGTGAGCTCCAGGCGGAGGCTTAAAAGCCGACTCCATGCCCGGCTGACCGTTGAAGTCCTGAGCCCATGACGGCGACGCTGAGCCGGCGCGCATCGGGGCATGTTGTGCTGGGTTCAAAGCAGGTCCTGCTTGCATGGGAAATTCTTGCTGGAGGTTCGGGGCGCCGTTGAGGAAGCCATTCATCATCTATAAGGACGTAAGGGGTTCACCATTAGTCACTTGGAAATCGACACCAAACACGGAGGGGCGGGAGGAATCCGTACCTCGTCCTGGGGAGCATTGGCAGCCTGGCTTCGAAAGCCACCCATCTGACCACCGGGTCCCCTCCCAACGAGTCGGTCTCGCTGCAGAGTCTTGTCATCTTGGACGTGTTTTTGAAACTGGCTCAAAGGGTTCGCCGCCGTGGAGCATTCGGCCCCTCCCATAAACGACATGATGTTGGGAATGTGCTGGTATAGGCGGGGTGTGTGGTCGAAGGTGGCGGATGAAGCGGCAGCGTTTCTCGTTGGGGATGAGCAGGTCAGCCTCAGCAGCAAGATGGGGGAAACAACTCGGAAGCGTGCCCAAGGTGAAGAAAGAAAAGGGAGACGAATGTTCAGACTGAGAGGAGTACGAGTACAGATTTGGGCTCGGTCGACATGGTTTGTCAGGACGTCACCTGCAGCTCGGCCTGTGGGGAAAAGTACCGAGGCAGTCCGGCTCCGGCCTTCAGAAGGCTACAGAAGCGTCCCACGGCGCACTGAAGTTTCTCCGCCGGCCGCCACTCCTGTAAAGCCCAACAGAGGCAGACACGTGACTGCGGGGTGGGTGTTGCCACGGACGGTTGACGTTAACAACGCGGTTGGTCCCCCGGGGGGCGCTTATCGATAAGCATAGAGAGCCTCTTTTTTTTTCCTCTAGGCTTTTTTTCCCATTACAGCCGTCGTCACCAAGGAACATCTGATACCCACGTTCTGCAACACGAACAAAGACCACACAGTCAAAATGCTTCGTCAAGTGTATGTCAATGCCGCTCACCTGACTAGACAAGCAGCCGAAGCCACATGCAAATAACTGACCGTCTCCAGAAAACCTCGCAACGCCCGCTCAAAGCGAGCCCTCGAAAAGCGCGAGGCCAAAGCCGTCGAAAACCCCAAGCAATGCCTCTTCCTCCGCGGCACGTCCTGCTCGCAAATCGCGCAAGACGCCCTCACCGACCTCCACTCGCTCCGCCTCCCTCTCGCCAAGAAATTCACCAAGAAGAACCCCATCCACCCCTTTGAAGACGCCTCCTCGCTCGAATTCTTCTCCGAGAAGAACGACGCCTCCCTCCTCGTCTTCGGGAGCAGCCAGAAGAAGCGGCCTCACGCGCTGACGTTTGTCCGCACGTTCGGCTACAAGGTCCTCGACATGCTGGAGCTGCACCTCGACCCGGAGACCTTCCGGACCATGGCGCAGTTCAAGAATAAAAAGTTTGCCATTGGCCTGCGACCCATGCTCCTCTTTGCGGGCACCGCCTTCGAGAGCCCCGTCAGCAACGAGTACACTCTGGCAAAGAGCCTGCTCCTCGATTTCTTCAGAGGCGACCCCTCGGACAAGATTGACGTAGAGGGCCTGCAGTACATTGTCTCCGTCACGGCGGAGGATGCCACGGGTGACGGGGACGCCAAGCCCGCCATCCATTTGCGCGCCTACATGATTCAGACGAAGCGCAGCGGACAGAAGCTGCCCCGCGTGGAGGTGGAGGAGATTGGACCGAGGATGGACTTTAGGGTCGGTCGTGTCAAGGAGGCGGATGAGTCTATGCTCAAGGAGGCCATGAAGAAGGCGCGCGGCCTGGAGGAGCGAACCAAGAAGAATGTCACGATGAATCCAATGGGTGACAAGATTGGTAGAGTGCATTTGGGCAAACAAGACTTGAGCCAGCTGCAGTTGAGGAAGATGAAGGGCTTGAAGAGATCGAGAAACGATGAGGAAGAGTTGGTGGAAGATGTTATTGCTGATGACGATGCCAAGAGGATAAAGCAGTAGATGCGGGCTTGATGCGGGCTTGGAAAAAAAAAACTTTCTTGCATTTGGGGGTCTGGAGTTTCGGCGTCTAAATACGTATCTGGCTGCCATGGCAGAGTCTGGAGCTTGTAGCTTTGTATGCATTGATAAGTTTGGTTGTCAAAAAGCTATTTTTTCTTTCTGTACAGTCTGTGTCTCGCCAGTGTAGCTGGGACTGTAATATGATTAGATTGATTTCACCGTGCGGCTATGAACTCGCCAACTATACAAGTTCCTTGCACCACCCTCCATGTATAAAAGACGTCACGCCAGAAGTCATACGAATTCGTATCCCGTAAAAAACCCAAACGCCGGGCTGTTGGTACTAAAAAGACCCCACATTGTCCATCTTGCTTGCCTAGTGACGGCGATAGTCCTACAAAACCGTGTCATCTGCAAGTCCTAATCAAGAGGCACGGCCATGAGTTCCAGTTCGGCCTGTGCCGACATGGACGAAGTTGCTTGCGGATTGCTCGTCAACCGGGAGAATAATTCAATATGGCTAACCATGGTATCGCCGTTTCCCGTGTTCGACTCGGCTTCCTTTTCATAATCCACGCCCCAAACGTCAGATGTTATGGTCCCTCCATTCCAAAGAGCTATGCGCACTGGCCACTCCAGATGCCTCCACCATGGAGAACCCGATTCAAACAGGCTCACGAGGCCCATGACCTCGCGGCGCGTAACGTCCTCGAGCCACCACACACTATCCATGCGCTTGAGAAGCGCAAAGAAGCAAGCTAGGATGGCGAGAGACCGGGGGCGTTTCTCGTCGACGACCTCGACGAATCTTCGGGATACACTGGCGGGAAAGGCCAGCGCAGCAGGGGGGAAGGGATTCTTGTGTGCCCAATTCAGAACACTGACGGCGTGGAAGTAGCCCTGACTGGTGGCGTTGACCTTGTCTTTGCTTTCATTCGCGAGCTCGTCGTCAAGACCCTCGAGAAGATGGCCAAAAAAGGAATTGGGACCGAGCGGGTTTAAATCTAGTTGAAAGCTTGGCTGCGAGTCAATGACAGCTTGAACGATGTTGCTATTGCGTATCCACTGCCAAGATGTTGCAACAACAGTCTTGACGCCCTGGAATGCATGGAACCAAGCCATGGGCGTAGTGTATCGACTGGCTCCATCGTTGCTAGTCGTTTCCGTGTCATCCTTGATGAAAATTCGCTGTGCGGTAGCCTGGAAAGCAATGAGCGAAGCAGTCAAGAAGAGAGCCTCTGCATTGTCGGCCGTGATGCCGTTGTTCAGCGTTTCAACATATGCCGCCAGTGCCGACGCAGCATACGCATGGGATGCCTGGACCAGGGCTTTGTCGGTGGGCTCCTGTGATCGCAGATGCAGAGCTGCCACAGAGAGCATGGCGTCGGCCAAGTACGTCTTGCCTCGAAAGGCCATATCAGGCACAGCCTTTTGCCAAATATCATGCGTGGCGGGCGAGTTCGTAAGCAGCGTTTTGCATGTGCTGGTGGTGTACTGATGAAGGAGCCGCAACTCCAGTAGCCTGTCCACAGGCCTCGACGTGTCTGGCTCGGGAGAGGCGCCATTAGGTTGAGGCTGAGAGGCCATGGACGTCGCCTGCGTCTGAGAAGGCGACGATACGGACGGCGATGGCTGCGGGACGCTCAGACTGGCGGCTTGCGCAGAGGCTGGAGGAGGAGTGGTTGCCGAAGGTGTGGCCGCAGTAGCAAGCTCGTCAAGAACAACCGGGCTTTCGAAGTCACACATGACGCCGTGCTTGGAACAGTTGCCACATCTTGGGTGCACCTCATCACACTGTAAGAAGGATTTAGCAAGAAAAGCATCAATGCATACGTGGGGGACGGGTGGAGGGCAACTCTGAGTGCGTAGAGTAGAAAACTGCACGCCGCTCAGGGATGGAGGCTGGTCTCACCTTGATCTTCCGGTTTTTACATCTGCGACACCCAGCGCGAGATTTCTTGTGTGAGCGCCGGGGTGGCATATCGTAACTACGCCTGGCTAGCTAAGTAACTGAGCTGCAAGCTTGACGACAGGGCGTGCTGGCAGCATGGCCATGAGCGTTGCGTGGGAAGCTGAGTGAGGTGCCTGGGTGGACGACCACCTTGGCTCGCGTTGGTGCCGGAATAGACGCGCGAGAATGAATGCTGGAGCGAGCGGCGGCGACCCTCTTTCGAAAGCAGTCTCATCCGTAACCTTGCAAGAGCTTGCGCTGTCGAAGGAGTCCAAAATCAAAAGAAGCGGCAAAGAAATCGAGATGGCTTCACTTGAAGCATTTGAGGTCTAGAGACGATAGCATGTGCTTGCGGAGCACAGCCACGCACTGCGGCGGCCATTGGTAGCCTATCGGTGGCCACGGAATCCACGCACCTACTGGCGGCCTACCTACTTAAGTACTTAGAGGTAGTTCCTTGCATCACCGCTCTGAGACTGGACCTCGTAACATTGAAGGAAAATGCAAGATACATGCAGTCTACGCAGGTATGCGGAGTAGTAGAGTCAATATGTCTCGATTACCAACTAGTATCTTGTAGGACACGGCGCGATGGCCATATGCCTTAAGTAGCCTGCTTACATTCTTTGTACCTTCCTGCACCTACCTGCCCATAGGTACCTAATAGGTAATGTGTACTTGTTCGTAGGCAAATTCTGCCCTAGACTAGGGGTGCCACGTGATGCCCTCGCGTGTCGCTTCATCGTACATATGTACCCTTCCCTAGACTAATGTGCTCAGTAATAGTAATGCAAGAGAAGACGCATTCGGTTCCGACCATGAGCCGTTGCTGCCCGTGCCTCATCAGCCTGAATGGTGATTTGCTTGTGCTGGGTGTGTGAGGCAGTCGGCGGAGAAATCACTGAAGACGTCAATAGTAATAAAAGCTTCAGCGATCCAGAGAAGGAAGGCGTGCAAGCAAACTGGCCAGAGTTGGACACGGATCTTGTCGAGCATCGGCGTACCCAATGAGGAGTTGGACAGAGGTGCGGTACTGTGATGCATCCCCCTCTCTCTTATGCTCTTTCAGCTCAGGAAAAGGGCGTGCAGAAAGCAATGTGATTGCTCATCCAAGCTGGACGGCATCCATTCCGAGAAAGCGCAGTTGGAGGGGTGGCGGAGCAATCAATGATGCCTACCCTTATGTATGACCTAATCCCCCTGCAAGCCGAGCTGCCAATTACTTAAGTGGTAGGAACTGCAGAATGCGGTGTGCCAGTGATGGGGTTGTCCAATATTGCTTTGTCATTTGGTCGCTCCTGCATGCCAGATGGGAATTATGCACATAAATGGAAGGTTCCATGGGCTGGCGGATGTTTAAACTCGGTGCGGAAATCCGCGCCAACAGTCGGCATGTCGATCTGTGCAGCCAAGGGGCGTACCGGTCCTCTAGCTAGCGCCAGGCGGCAGAAGACGTCAACCGGTAGTAATCACAAAAATTACCAATCACGCCGGAAGCGCTCCGTTTAGCTTCAATGTTGGGCGCCTCGGGGCTCGGGGCTTGATGACACAATTTTAAACGTGGTGACGGCAGAGCTTGACGCGGTGGATCGCAGCCCCCAAGTGGAACTCAAAACCCGTCATTGTTTGCGCCGTCTCACTTGCTATGCCTGCCCTGGCCGGCCAGGCATTAGGCATTGCTGTAGTGCTACGGAGTACTAGTAGTATTACTCAATCCCACTTGCATACATATATATACCAACGGGGGGACTCCACCACGAGCAGCCCCTCTAGTTCCAGTTGGAAAATTCCATCTGTCCTCTGACGATACATCTTTCCTGTTGTCCTCACTTCCTGTGCACTACTTAAGTACTCATTGCGAGTGTGAGCCGTTCCTGTCCGAGAAGACCTGGCTGACGCTGTCCACAACCTGCTGTCTCACTCGGCCAACATTGAACATTGAACACTGCCAGTCCTCCGACGGAAACGGCCCCTCCATTGCTGCTTGCTGCCCCTCCGCTTATCATATCAGCTCTGGCGCCGCCAGACCTAAAAAAGAAAGAAAAGGAAAAAAAAAGCCAAGCCAAGGGCAAGGGCAAGGAGCGCAAGAGGAAAGAGAGAGCCAGGACTTCATCAGCAGCCATCCACCGCGCCCTGCCATCACCAGACTCCAATCGAGGGAGACGCACGCACATCACCGTCACGCAGTCAAAATGTCGCCTCCCGTCACCTCTGACCCCGTCTCGACGCCCCCGCGTCCCCCGACACCCGTGCACGCCTTCGGCACGCTCGCCGTCCATGCCGGCTCGCCCCACGACCCTCACACCGGCGCCGTCATCGAGTCCATCTCCCTCTCCACGACCTTCGCCCAGACGGCTGTCGGCAAGCCTGTCGGCGAGTACGAGTATTCGCGCTCCTCCAACCCCAACCGGACCAACTTTGAGACGGCTGTCGCTGCCCTCGAGCATGCCCGCTACGCCCTAGCCTTCTCCTCTGGCAGCGCAACCACCGCCACTATCCTGCAGAGCCTGGCCGCCGGCAGCCATGTCATCTCCGTCTCCGACGTCTATGGCGGCACCCATCGCTACTTCACCCAGGTCGCCAAGGCCCACGGCGTCAAGGTCACCTTCACCCCCGAGATTGAGGTCGACATCAGCGAGCACATCAACGATCAGACCCGCCTCGTCTGGATCGAGAGCCCTTCCAACCCTACTCTCCGCCTCGTCGATATCCGCGCCGTCGTCACCGAGGCCCACAAGCATGGCATCCTCGTCGTCGTCGACAACACCTTCTTGTCGCCCTACGTCCAGAACCCTCTTGACCTCGGGGCCGACATCGTCGTCCACAGCGTCACCAAGTACATCAATGGCCACAGCGACGTCGTCATGGGCGTAGCCGCCTTCAACAGCGACGAGCTCAAGACGCGTCTTTCCTTCCTCCAAAATGCCATTGGCGCCGTCCCCTCGGCATTCGACTCGTGGCTCGCCCACCGCGGCCTCAAGACCCTTCACCTTCGTGCTCGCGAGGCCACCCGCAACGCTACCGCCGTCGGCCACGCCCTCGAGGGCTCTCCTCACGTCATTGCCGTCAACTACCCCGGCCTGGACTCCCACCCCCACCGAGCCATTGCCGTCCGCCAGCACCGCGACGGCATGGGCGGTGGCATGTTGTCCTTCCGTATCCGTGGCGGCCACGCTGCTGCCGAGCGCTTCTGCCAGGTCACCAAGATCTTCACCCTCGCCGAGTCCCTGGGCGGAGTCGAGTCCCTCGTCGAGCTGCCCAGCAGCATGACGCACGCCGGCATTCCCCGTGACCAAAGAGAGGCCGTCGGCGTCTTTGACGACCTTGTCCGATTGAGCTGCGGTGTCGAAGATGCCGAGGACCTCAAGAACGACGTGCTCCAGGCCCTCGAGCTTGCCGTCAACGAGTCCGCCAAGAACGGGCTCTCCAACGGTGTCAACGGACAATGAAGAAGTGAATCTTTTTTTCCCTTTAGCGTGATTCCCTCTTTTTTTCGCTTCGGCAAAAGACAAAACATGACGGGTTTATGAATTAGAGTTAGAGGCAGACAGAGCCAAAGGCACAACAATCTGCAAGGCATCGTCGCAAAATCAAGTTGGATATTCAAACGCATCGCACAGTCTGTTGGCAGAAACGAGCATAGTTCATTTGTTTCCATGGAATTAGTCACGATTGATACATATATTCTATATATATATGGACATGGCGTCGCAACACCGCTCAGCTATTTCTCATGCCATACACGACAAATTGGGTCAACCTGTGACTAGAGCCTGATACAAAATAGTAACAAAAAAAGAGCAAGACGCCGCTATGCAACTTCCTATTACCCTCTGCCGCCCCTCCTCCCACCCCCCCTGTTTACAACTTGTGGTAGAATACATTTATCCATTAGTATAAAGCCTTTAGCGTGATAACCAGGTACTTGATCTGGCTCGTGCTTTTTGCCTCCCACCATCTTAACAGGCCCCATGGTGGACATTATACTGCATCCCTTGAATCCTCCATTGTCGGAATATTAAACAAATTGTCAACGTACTCGTTGGCCATGCCATTTCCAGCTGTCCACTCACTCCGTCTTCGATGAATCTCATTCATGCCTTGACAAGCCTTTTCGGCAATATAATGTAGTTCATCCAGAGTCCCAGAATTGCAATTATGAAATATACCATCAATGCGCTTTTGCCATTCTGAAGTGGTATTATCCACGGCAGTTTGGTGGGCGTTTGTATCGTATTCATCAACACGCAATGGCCGGGTTCTGGGCTTGAGTACGTGTACGAGCTTGTCGTTGGCGTCATGGGGCAAGAACTCGACTGGACTTCCTGAAGGCAGGTTGGGTTGGCGAATGCCCATGACGACTTCGACAAATCGCTGGGATACGCTGCGGCCCAGGCCGCACGGGTCGATGAGATCAAATTCGGGCTGCGGCTGAGTGGACATTTCTTCTCGAAGGTAGTGATCGTAGGCAAGGAAGGACGCTCGACAAATTCGTAGTCGAGATAGGGTGGCCCGCAGTGACATGGCCATCCACTTGCAGTCCTCCGCTGGCCGTTGGTTGGGCATGCCGGTCCAGAGGACTTTTGAAGAGTTCTGGTTCCAGGTTTGCGATTGCTCCGTCTTCAGGTACACTTCGTTTAGGTAGAGTTCTTCTAGAGTTTCACCAAATACCTCCATTGCCTTCAGAAAACATTCTGGCAAAATTTCCATTCGCTTCAGCTCGAGGCTGGTCAGATTGGAAAAATGAACTCGCGGTGCCGGTAGAGAACGTGCCCTCCAATCCTCAACCGGCATT